GCTAGCTAGCTGCTGGCCAACTATTAATTCCTAACAGAATTCTCTACTGCCAGTTCCTGGACTTTGGTCACTGAAGTTGGGGCAACCTGTCCTCGACACAAGCCTATCCTCTGTGTCTGTTTTGGAACTCCCAGGCTGGCTTTCTTAAGTAGTGCAGATGTAGTTATCTTGAATGGGTGTCCACACTGCCTCTCCTTCTCTCTTTCTGACGTGTCATCCATCAGGTGGGGAGTGCTGGCTTGGAAGATGCTCTAGGAAAAGATAATGTGACTGTTTGGTAGCCTGCTTTGGATGTAGGCATGCCTCACATCTCTAGCTAACCAGGTCAGTCTATCTGATGTATGCCCGGGACAGGGGAGTACAGGCAGAGGACAGAAGGAGGCTCTTGTGGTTTTCGTTTGAGATACTGCATGGCTGTTGACAAATATAGGGCCAGTGTCATCTACCTCCTGATGGGAGTCTTTGTGAGTACTGCCCTACCTTTATAGTAATTTCCTTTGTATAGATTTTGTTTATTTTTATTTTTATTTTTTTAATGACTGGGTCTCTCTATGTAGCCTTGGATGTCCTGGAGCTCCCTATATAAACCAGGCTGGTCTCGAGCTCACTAGAGCCACCTGCCTATGCCTCCTTAGTTCTGGGACTAACGGCCTGTGCCACTGTGCCTGGTGTTCTTTGCATATTCTAAATAACAGCAGGCTAGCACCCAAACAAAAAGAAAGCATACGGTCCTCCATGAAAACTGATAGTCCATCATAACTGAAGCCAGGTCTGGATGGGATACATTGAACTGGCCTCAACTTTGAGGGTAGAAGCTACCAGAGTCCTGCTAAGGAACAAACATGGGACATTTCAGAAGAACAACTGCAGAGATCAAGGTAGGTAATGTCACTGACTGGGACTGAATGTTGAATACTTTGGTCTAAAACCTAAAAAAAAAAAAAAAAAAAAAGGTCCAATACCTGAAAGTTTTATACTATTAAGTTGATACCACAGTGGGGAAATTCCACCCGTGTGGAAAAGGCATAATATGTGTGTTAGTGAGCTTTTTAGGACTGTGACAAAAAACCCGAAGGAGGTTTCTTCTGGTTCATAGTTTTAGGAGTTCCAGCACTCATTGCTTTTGAGCCTGTGGTGAGGCAGAACACGATGGGGCATGGAGGTCCCCTGTGGTGGAGCAAGGGCAAGATGTAGCCTAAGGGATGACTTGGCCTTGCTTCCTCAGTCTCCATCACCTCCTAATAGCCCATCAAATTAGGAACCCCTCCCTTCATAGGTTAATTCATGGACAAATTCAGAATCCTCTGCTAAGAATAAGAAACTGCTGAGTACTCAGCCCTAAACAGGCTGTGCTGGCTAGTTTTATGTCAGCTTGACACAAGGTAGAGTCATCTGAAAGGAGGAAATCTCAACTGAGAAAACGCCTCCGTAAGATACAGCTGTAGAGTATTTTCTTAATTAGTGATTGATGGAGGAGAGCCCAGCCCATTGTGGGTGGTACCATCCCTGGGCTGGTGGTCCTAGGTTTCGGGTTCAAAAGAAATTCCAGACAAATGGCTGTCTGTGGTGCCTATTAGCATACCATGCGAGCCTCCAGACTCAATCAGTTCCTGAGGCTCTTCTCAGCTCTTCTCACCCCACCTCCTATCCTAAGTTTCTCCAGCTCATGGGCTTCTCTTCCCCCAGTTTCTCATTTCTATATACCATTTTGACCATGTACACCCTTGTGTCTTCTTCTCTTGGTCCCCTCTCTTGCCTCTCTCTCTTGGTCTCTTTTACCCATACTCCCTTTGTCTTCTCCTTGCTCCCTGCCACACCTCTCATAGCCAAATCCAGTCTGCTGACCATGTTCAGTTTACTACTTTCTATCTCCGCTCTGGACTCTTCCAGATGCCTCTGGCTCTATTCTCTCTCATATCTGCAATAAAAACCTTCCCCTCAATGATACCTTGAAGTAGTCATGTCCTCACTATATGTATATGGTGCCAAAACTCTTAGTTTATATACTAGGTTCTGTGGGGAAGTAGACTGAGCAAGCCATGATGAGCAAGCTAGTAAGCAGCATACCTCTGTATCAGCTCCTGCCTCCAGGTTCCTGCCCTGTTTGAGTTCCTGTACTGGCTTCCTTCAATAATGAACTATGACATAGATGTGTAAGCCAAATAAATCCTTTCCTCCCCAGCTTGTTTTTTGGTCGTGGTGTTTTGTCCCAGGAATAGAAAACCTAACTAAGACACAGGATATCTATATTACTCCTTCAGAGCCTCAAGGAATGTTGTGGAAAGTGGAGTGGAAAGAATATAAGAGCTAGAGGTAGGTTGGGAAGAAGTCCTGTGAAACGCTGCCTTCTGGACATGACATGGCTGTTTCACCTATGAACCCAGAGAGGCATTGGCTACCTACACAAGATTGGGCTCACTGACATTCCATCACAGATGGGAGAGGAGCTCAGAGGTCCCTCCCTTTGCTGAGAAGCTATAGGCACATAAAGGTTGCTGTGGTGGTTTCAATGAGAGTGGTCCACATAGGCTCATATGTTTGAACACTTGGTTCCCAGTTAGTGGAACTATGTGGCAAGGATTGGGAGTTGTGGCCTTGTTGGAGGAGGTGTCTTACTGGGAGTGGACTTTGAGGTTTCAAAAGCCCATGCCATTTCACATTAGCCCTCTCCGTTCTGTCTCTGTCTGTCTGTCTTTCTGTCCATCCATCCCTCTCTCCCTCACTTGTGGGTCAGATGTAAGCTCTTAGCTACTGCTCCAATGCCATGCCTGCTACCAGCCTTCCCACTATGAGAATCATAGACTAACTCTCTGGATTAAATGCTTTCTTTTATAAGTTGCCTTGATAATGGTGTCTCTTCACAACAATAGAAAAATAACTAAGACAGTTGATGAAAGAGAGGGAGTCCTATACCTCTTTAGATGGAGTTTTCCTGTCGCACAGCTGCTCTCAAATAAACACACTGGGGCTTATATTAATTATAAATGATTGGCCAATAGTTCAGGCTTGTTACTAGCTAACTCTGACATTTAAATTAACCCATATTTCTTATCTATGTTGTGCCACACGGCTTGGTGCCTTTTCTCAGTATGACATGCTCATCTTCTCTCTCTCTCTCTCTCTCTC